CAGTCGCCTGATAGCCAGAGATGACCTCCCTGCCCCGCCCCCGCCCCGACCCATCCCTCCCGGCTGCATTTCTCAGGCTCACCATCAGGAGTCCCTGGGCCACCCTTCTGGGCCTCTGGATCTGCACGTGGGAACAACTTGGGCCCTTCCCAGCCAGGGCTAAGAGGGGCCTTGAGGACTTCCCAGCTGTCAGCAGAGCACTCCTGTGCTCTGTGACCCAGGAGTTTTTGATGCCACTTCCTGAGTGAAACCTGAGTGGGAGGTAGGCGGAACCCCCCCCCATAGATCTGTGTCCCCCGTAAGCGGGGGCAGGGGGGCAGCTCGTCACAGCCACTGGGAAATAGAGCAGACGTCTGGCCTGGTGAGCAGAGCTTGAGGGGGGAGGATAATGGAGTCTCCCCCCCGCCCCAAAGACACGAGTTTTGGCTTTTCGGGTTTTCCTAGATGCTGTGCTGGGGGAAGGGCTCGGCCTGGAGAGGGCAGTAGCCTCCCTTCAAAGGGTCTGCCAGGTGCCGAGCCAACCAAGGTGGCCACGGTGGGTCAGCCCAGCCGAGGGCGGGCTTGGGGCGAGAGGCCGGGTGGTCCTGAGGGGAGTTGACCCCTGTATACCTTTTCCTACATCTCAGAGCTCCTCCCAGCTAGTTTTCTCCCCTTCATTTTCAAATTGGAGGCAACACCAGGGCAAGCTTCACTGTCTCTCTATTCTTAGACCCTGGGAGGAAGCCACAGGGTGGGCCGTGGCCTTCAGCTTTGACATCCACGGCCTCCTATATGAAACCTGCTCTGATGAGAAGGCGAGGCCCAGGTCGGGGAGCTGTTGGCCAAGCAGCCGGCTGTCCTTGGGGCCGATGGCACCGGGAGTGGCCCTGGGACAGAGGGAGAGGCCTGCGGCCTGGCCCGTGGCATCCGTGGCTGGGAAGGAGTTTGATCAAAGGTGCGGGGAGAAGGCCAGGAGTCAGGACAGTGTTGTGTGCTTGGCCACGGTGTGTTGTGTCCTACACATCCGTGTGTGTGCGAGCGCCTCCGCGCAGAGCCCAGATCCGAGCCACGGGGCTGGCTCGTTCAGTATTTTGAGGCCTTGGGAGCCTTGTCACCCGCGGGCCACACGGAGTAGGGTTGATAGTGCGTGGATGGCAGGCCTCGCCCTCGGGACCGCCCCACGTCCCTTGACCTTGTTAAAGCTGCTCGGAGGGGCGGAGGTGTCCCCAGCAGGGGCCCCAAGGGGCCAGCTCTTCAAAAGCGTCCAGTCCTGAAGACAGTATTTGCAGGGAGAGGGTTCGGGTGCGGGCGCCCCCTCACCTGCTGGGGGTCCTCTGCAAAGAGCATCCAGTGAAGTTGGGAGACCAGGGTGGGGGATGAGGCATGGGCCAAATTCGGATCCCAAGACAGAGGGCAAGCCCGGTGCATTTTCCTGTCCTCTGCCTCAGTTTACCTATCCAGAAAATGATCCAGGAAGAACTGAGCAGGGCTGGGTCGCCAGCTGGGCGGGATGGGGTGGGGGGAGGGGGCGGACAACAAACAAAATCCCAAGTCCTCCTCTTGCTCTATGCCAAAATTATTTCCGTTATCCTGAGATGGGGGTGAGCGGATGTTGGGCGCATGATGGGGCTCTGAGGGGACTCTGCCCTGCCCAGGGCCTTGCCTTGGGGGTCTGGCCCTCACCTGGCACGCCCCGGGTCACCAGCAGTAGCAATGGCACTTACATCTGTCCCAAGCTCTGGGCAAGGGGGAGCACGGGGCCACCCGACGCCCCAGGGCCCTCACGCTTCTCGCCTCTTTGTGGAAGACACACAAAACCCTCGAGATTCATGTACTGTATGACGGAGAGAAAAAAAGTACCTAATGTTCCCCCAAAAAAGACAGTATATTTTGTACTTTGTAAAGTGTTAATTAAAACGGAGACAAAAATGGATGTTGGCTGACCAGTGTCTGATTTGGGGCTGACCCGGGACATCTGCAGTCTTTCCTTTCCCTGAGCCGTGGTCGGGGTGGGGGGAGCTCAGGCTGGGGGGCTTGGAGGAAGGAGAGCAAGCCTTCCAGCCCAACACCCAGAGCCTGAGAGAAGAAACACCCGCCCAGAGCGAGAGGGGCTGTAATAGTTATCTGGTGCTGCGTAACAAGCTGCCCCCAAGCTTCACAGCTTTACAAATGACTGCGTGTGTGTCGCAGTTTACGTGGGTTAGGAATTCGGGAGCAGTTTGAGCAGTTCTGGCTCAGAGCCCCTCATGAGGCTGCAACCATCTGAAGTCTTGGCCGAGACCGGAGGATCTACATCCAAAGGCGGTTTATTCACCCTGTCTGTTGGCAGGAAGCCTGTTCCTCTCGGCATGGGTCTCCCCGCGGGGTTGTTTCCCTGCTGTAGGGTGCCTGGCTTCCCCCAGAGCAAGGGATGGGAGGGCCAAGGTAGAAGCCAAAATGGTTTGGCCTCAGAATCCACACAGCATCACCCACCACCCTACGCTGTGGCCATACAGCCCAGCTCTGATTTGACACAGGAGGAGACCACTCAAGGTCAAGGTCTCGGGGGCCATCTCGGAGACCGGCTACTACGCCCACCATTCCTCCCCAGACCTCTGGCAGAGGTGGGCCTGGGGTTCGGGGGGACCCGTGGAGCAGGACAGAGCTCCTTCCCCAAGCCTGGAGCCCTGCTGTGGACATCACCCCACCCCCACCCACCCCCCCAGGAAGGGCTGCCTGGTTCTGGAAGCCCAGGACCTGATGCCTCCAGACAGGATCCCCTGGCAGCAGGAGCGAGGGCACCTGCCCAGCGTCCCTCCACAAGCCTCTGGCGTCTGGCTCCTTGTCCTCTTGGCAGGTGGGCATTGGGGCTGCCCCGGCAAGAAGGAGGTCCTGGACCTCTCTGGTATTTTCCACGGAAGGCAGGTGTGAGCAGGGCAGGGCTGAAGACCCGTGTCTGCACTTGGCCCCACGCTACCTCACCCCTGCCCCTGGAGACGGAAGGGGGTGAGTGTGGGGCTGGAGCACTCTCTTACCACCCTGAGCCCCAGGAAGCTCTGCTGCTATGAAGGCTTTTCCCTCCGGGGTCTGCAGGCTGAGCGCCCTCGGGCCTTCGGATGACACACTGGAGGCAGGACTTCTATGGGGACTCAGGGGCAGCCACGAGGGGACAGAAGCGGAGACACCAGGGCGGAAGACAGCTGTGGAGAGGGTCTGGCGTGGGGCAGATGCGTTCCAGCCAGCCAGGGAGACCGAGACGGACTGCAAGACACTGGGTTTTAAGACAAATCCAAGGACATCCCTTTTAGTACCCTGGTTGCTGTGTCCAAGACGGAGGTAGTTATTGGAGCTGCATCTTGGGTGTGAGGCTTAAAACCACTCCTACCTTCAGCAGAGACCCTCCCCAGCACCATCACTTCCTGGCTTTGAACACCGCTGGTGGCACCCAGGAGGCATGACCTTGACCTTCTGGGGCACTCACGCTCCGTAAATCAGTAGGTGCTCTAAGGTGCCTATTGCACGGAGGATGGATTTCTGTTTTTCACCGCTGGGGTGACAGGGAACACGGCCCAGCCAGGAGTTTTGGGAAGGAAAATGACAAATCATTTTCAACTTCGACCTGGCTGGTTCCTGTGGCCTCAGCCCACAGCAAGGACTACTCAGTGACCGTTTCACTTTTTTATTTTAAGATTTTTATTTAGATAGAAAGCATGGGGGGGTGCAGAGGGAGAGGGAGAGAATCCCAAGCAGGCTCCATGCCACCCAGCATGGAGCCCAACTCAGGGCTCGATCCCACAACCCTGAGGTCATGCCCTGAGCTGAGGTCAAGAGTCAGACGCTTAACCAACTGAGCCACCCAGGCGCCCCCTAAAGATTTTAGGTCCTCTCTATACCCAATGTGGGACTCGAACCCACAACCCCGAGCTCCACCAACTGAGCCAGCCAGACACCCAGACCACTCCACTTCCAACTGCAAAGCCCCCACGTGGCCAGCCCCCTGCCCCGGCTTTATTTGTCTCCGCGGCCCACCGAGCCATCTACCATACTCTCCGTTTTGCTTGCCAGTTGTGTTTTGCCTCCTAGAACGTAAGCTTCATGGGACCTGCTGACGGGGCTGTCGTCCCCGAGTGACCCAGTGTGATCCACAGTGGCTGGCACATGGGGGGCACAGAGTATCTGTTGAGTGAATGAATCAGAGACGGGGGGCGGGGGATGCAGCCAGGGAGTGAGATCCCGGTGGGTGACATGATTACCGTTTTATTTTTAGGCTTCGTTATTTTCTCCCAACTGAACCGTGGGAGGGGACTGTGAAGACAAATTGTTTTCAAGCAGGACTGTCTTCTGAAGTATCTGTCACTGGCTTTAGCTGCCTCTTTATCAAAAGGCTTGTTTTTGCAAGCGAACCTCTAAATGATCAAGTAAGATTAAAAAAAAAAAAAGACCTCTTCAGTGCTCAAAAATAAAAAGGCAGAAAATAGACTTTATTCTAAAAGGGATTTTTCAAAGACGTTTTTAAATGAAAGGCCAAGTTTATGTTACTACCTCAAATTGTTTTCCACAATTTCTGAATCTCTTCTCCGAGGCTGGCCCTCCAGACAAGCTTTCGCGGGGCGTGTTCGGTGCACGAGAACCTGGCCTCGCTCTAACTCCTGCAGGGGCTTCTCAGCCCGGCTCCCTCAGTCAGGCTGGGGCTCGCCCTGATGCCCACACGCCCACCATGAGCTCTGCTGTGGTCGGAGGCTTACATACAAAAGCCCACCCGGCCACTTAAGAGTCCATCGGGCCACCTTTAAGAACAAACAAAATGGCATGCCGGAGAGCTAAGCTTCCCCCGGACCAGCTGCTCGGGTCAGTAATAGGGATCCCTCTCACTGGTGATTGGCCTGATGAGGACAGCCATCCCGTGGTGAACACAGCCAGTCTCACCCTCAGCCGGAGAGGGGCCCTGAGTCCCGGGACTTCCCGTCCGTTCTTGCTAAGGGCACTGGCAGAGAGCATCACACGTCACCAAGGGCCCGGACCCTCTCTGACCCCTAGCAAGAGCCCCGCTGGAGGCCTCTGCCAAGCAGTCCCAGTGGTTCTGAGGCCAGGTTCCGGTTCCGGGCTCAAGCAGGTCAGGGAGGGGCTTCAGACGAAAGACTTGGCCAGAGTCACCATGTGATCCACACCACACGCCACATCCACGGGCTCCCCAGGCATGGTCACCTGCAAAACAAGACCCAGCACAGCGTGAGGGGACATGGTTTGGAGGAGGCCCAACCTGGGCCTGAGCCTGGCTCTGCCTCTTGGTGGGTGACTTAACCTCCCCGAGCCTTGGCTCGCTCCCCCAGAGATGGGGATGCTTCCACCCAGCCAGCAGGGCGGTTCCGATGAGCGCACAGTCACCCCAGCGTCCCACCCAGCCAATGGCAGACATGACTCTTCCTACCCACCCGTCAGAGAGGCTGCTGGAGCCCACAGCTCCCCCAGAGGCTACTCCCCCCTGTGCACGACCCCGCCAGAGGTCAACACCTGCTCCCGAGCCAGGGGCTCAGTGACCTCTCCTCGAGGTCACCCCCAGAAGGAGGTCACAGGTCACACTTCCCTCCCCCGGAAGGAGGCCCCCGGCCGGCATCTTTAGCCGCGTGCGCCATCAGCCTCAGCTCCGGGCCGGGGCTTTCCCAAACGATGTGCACCCTCGAGGAGGAAGGTCTGCTGTGTCGCAGAGCGGGCCACAGGCCCCGCGGGCAGTCCTACCAACAGCGCCCACCCACGGGAGCAGCCCTCAGGCCGATGTAGAGGCTCCGGCTGGTTGGCCTTTAAAATGACTCTCGCTGTCAAACAGGCTGGCCCTGGAGACGGCCGCCCCAGCCAGCCCCGGGTGTGCCCACGACGCAAGGACTTCCACGTGCCCAGAGCCCGGCCGGTTCTCCAGAGGAGGGGTGCTTGTCTCCCTCTGGTTAGACTATTACTATCGTTATTTTCAATAGGTAAGACCCTCTTATGGCTACATTATAAAACGACATTCAGTGAAAAAGAATTAAAAGATATTAAATCCCTTTTTTTTTCTGATTTTTAAGTAATCTCTACACCCGCCGTGGGGCTCAAACTCACAGCCCCGAGGTCAAGAGGCACGTGCTCCGCCCACTGAGCCGGCCGGGCGCCCCAGTATCAGGTACCCCACCCCCGTCGGCATCTGCCTCTTTATTCCCACCTTCCCTCTGAACTGGAATCCCCTTTTAACTGGTTTCCACCATCCCCCCCAAGGTTCCCGATGCAAGCACCAGCAGCACCGGCAAGAACCGTGTTTTTCGGGGGAAGTCTGTAAGTCACTAATCCTGCCGGGCCGAGTGCTCAGACCCTTGCAGGATGCTGACACTGCTCTTCCGTCCGCGCAGATCCCAACTCGGCCACCCTCCCCTGCTGGCCCTGCTCTGCCAGGCAGTGGGAGAGCTGGAGCGGGATCTGTCACAGCCTGTGGAACTCAGTGAGCGAAGGGGCGGGGCGGGGGTGGGGGGAGGCCTCATCCAGACGGCCTGGCCTGAACACCCACGGGCAGCGGCGGTGGCGGCGACCCCAGAGCCCGGGACCTGCAGCGTGGGGAGACAGGTCTGTTAAGGGCTCCGGGCCACCAGGCAAATGGACGCTAGCAAGCGAGCCGTGCTGCCTGCCCCTCCGTCCCTAAACAAACGTGCTTAGTGACACCTATCACAGAAATCACTGAACAAACGCGCAGCAGTGGCCCCCGGTTCCTCGCCAAGGCCTGGAGGTGCAGGAAGCGGTCCAGGCTGGCCATGCAAGCAGAAGGAAATGCGCCGCCTCTGTGGCGATGGGCCCAGGTGAACTCCTAGCAACCTCCCCGGGCCATTAGAGCACGCGATCTTGACCTTCCCGGGGAGACTGCCGCCCGCGGCGCTCCCCGGGCCCCACACTGCTGCACTTAAGCACCCCAGTCCTCGTCCCCGAGGGCTCTGGCCATTAGAGCCCCCAGCAGAGTAACCAGCTGGCCCTGGTTGGCATGTTGGGAGGATGGTCGCGGCCGAGGCTGGCCTCAGAGGCCCCTGGGCCCCCGCTCCCCCCCCGCGTGTGGGCTCTCAGTCTCTGACGGTCTCTGAACGGAGTCCAAGACGACACTGCGCTTGGCCATGGGTATGATGTGTCCTCATCCAGGTGAAATGAAGTGTCTCTTCTAAATCAATTTATACTCGCTACATTCTTGCAAAGGGAAACAGTTCCAAAAACCGCACCACATCCAGCCTTAACACACTCTCACAAGTTTGAGCGGCATCAGGAATGTCCCTCTTCATGATGACAAAGTCTGAAACGCCCCCAGGAGAAAGGTGGGGGGCTGAGAAGGAGCCCCGAACTCGCTGCTCCCCGACTTGGTTGCATCTGCAAGTTCCTTCGCGGCCCCGACACGTCCGCTCCCCCAGACACCCCGCCTGGGGCCCGGGGCCGTGTGGGAAGAGGCCGGGCAGCCAGAGGGCCTGCCAGCCCATGTGCCCCAAGCGGACCAACCCGAGGGCGCACGGCGAGGGGCTGCAGAGTCTGCACCCAGAGCCCCAAGTTCACGTCGCAGCCCCACCTGCTGCAAGGCCGTGAGACAGGGCAGCCCGGTCGATGCCTGAAGTCAGCGACCACAGCTGCAGGCCAGGGGCCGGCGGGGGGCTTCGCAGACTGTCCTGAGGATGGAACGAAAGCAAGGCGCCCGGCACGCGGGACAGCACCACTGCCCCCTCAGACAGGCAGCGATGTGCGTCTGGAAAGAGCGCACTTGTGGGTGGGTGATGGGGGAGGGCCATTCAAACGCTTGCCCCGGGGGCCTGATCCAGCGGGGCCGCCAGGTAGGTCGGAGGGGGCCCCTGTATAGACCTGGGGGGCATGTCCCTGCCTCTTCCCCACCACTGGGGACCTGATTCTCCAGCTCCGGGCCCTCACAGAGGAGGGCACCACAGTGAAGTGTCAAAGTCAGACACACCTGAGTCTGACTGTGGGCCCTGCCTCTTACAGGATGAGTGGCCTTGAAGAGCTCACTGACCCTCGGACCTCTGTGTCAGTGTGCGGCAGGGTAACCTTCAGGAAAGCTTCCGGAAAGAGAGGTTTGAGTCGGGGGGGCGGGGGGGGGAGTGCAGGTGTCACTCCCTGGGCCTTCAGACTTTCAAAGCAGCCCGGGCTCTGGGAGTCTGAGAATAACTAGTTCAGTGCCATTGCAGGAGCTACAGATAGGGCTTTACTCTTTTTTTTTTCCCTTCTTGGAATACTTTTAAAGTGATATAACAGTTCCCCCGCCAAAGATTAATAAGAAAATACAAATTTTTGAAGAATAAAAATCACCTGTCATTAAAAAAAAAAAACGAGTGCAAAAGAACAGACTGGACTAAGATCCCACTACCCAATATGAGGCAAATCTGATCTTTAAGGAATCCAACCCCACTGATCCCAAACCCGGTTTGGGCCACCACCATCCCCCAGAGCCTAGGCTGACAGCTCTGGCCCCCAGAGCACGGCAAGGGCCAGGTCCTCAGCACCACGCTGGAAGGTGTTCTCCTCGGCTAGTCCTCCCAACCCCACAAGCATGGAGGGCTCAGCCAGTGTGCCAGGGGGAGCAGCCATCGGGGACACGGCCCGGGGTGTCCCCTCCCTCACAGCAGGGGTACCGGGAGTGACGTTCCCAGAGGGCCACTTCGTGAGTAAGGAGTCTGCAGAGGGGGGCTCCAGTCTGGACAGCAAGTGGCCTCAGCACCCGGGTGCTTCCGGCCCCACAGCCGGGACCAACCTCCGGCCATTTGGACAGGACAGCGCGATCAGATTCCAAATCTGATTGCATGGGTGATCTTCACTGTAATGTGGGGGAGAGGGAAGCAGGTGGAGAGCCCCCCACACCCGGCAGAGCGGTCGTGCATCCAAAACCCAGCCGCTCTGCCGCTTGCCAAGCTTCCCCTCAACGAGAAGTGAGGAACTACCATGAAAGAGAGTGGGGCCTCCACACCATCGATGCTCGTGTCACCTGCCCTGCCCCGCACTGTCCACCAAGCGGCCGCCCATTCCTCACCCGTAAGGGGGATCCCGGGCTGGGGACTAGCGAGCGAGCACCAACCAGCCTGTGCCCAACTCCGGTGCACAACCATTTCTTTCCAGCAAACAGAAAGCCCCCATTCTGACCTGTTTTCTTAGAGACAGCACCTCCGGTTTTTATAAAGGGGTCAGGGCCTACCGAGGTCACTGGGAACCAGGACAGCCCACGGCCAAGGGAAACAACCCCCCAAATACGGAGGTGCCTCGAAACGTCTTACAGAGGGTTTTTGACAGACAAATCCTGATTTTATTTAAGTTATACACTGCTTCTGCATTTTCACATGAGGTTTTAAAAAAAAATGCTTTACACGATTTCAAAACACGCTATTAAAATCCAACCTTCAAAGAAGATAACTTAAGCATGTGCGTGCACACGCCTCTCGATGCAGACTACGTCTGGAAGGAAACATAAGAAACCAGTACCAGTGGCTGCCTCTGGGACAGGAGATAGGAGACTTATTTTTTATAATACCTCTTATACCACGTACATATGTTCTGTTTGCAAAAATATGAAGAGCTTTTTGTTTTGTTTTGTTTTAGGAGAACTTAGTAAACGATACTGAGATAAACTATAATTTAGGAAGGAATCTTTTTCCCCTTTAATTTTGATATGAGCCTTTTTTTGTATAATTGCATCCTCTCCCTAAGGAAAGCTTTTATTTTTTTACTTTGGTGGCTGTGGTACTCTAAATATTAAACATCCTGCTCTCTTTTCAATTCGCTGTAAAACATTCCTCCACACAGGCCTCTGTAAACAGCTCCTGGCACACCAACTTTGTCATTTCCAATCTCTCCGTCTCGGGGCCTCACGGCGCCCGGCCTGCACGCGGCCTGCTCCTCTCTGGGGTGCTGGCGTGCCTCTGTTTCCCCACTCCACGTACCCACGGAACAGCCTCTGACGAGGCTTCTTCCAGGGCGCCAAGGGACTGGAACCCTCGGCCAGGCTGCTCCCCGCTCCGGCAGGCCGCTCACTCAGCAGGCCCCGGGACAGAGCTAAGGGCAGTGAGCCATGAGCTGGGCGCCCGCTCTGGCTCCTCACCATGATGGAGCCTCCCCTGAAGCCGCGGAGCAGGAGGGGGCAGCCAGGACCTGAGAGGGGGAGCCATTCCCAGGGCCCTGGCACTAGCCCAGCCGCATGCTGGTGGAGCCCCGCGCCGCGGGTGCACCCTCAAGCCCACCCTGCAGAGCCTTACCCTCCATGGGAAATACTGGTCTTCCAGGCGACCGATGCCCAGGCACCCTCGGATGTTCTTGCCCCACACAAACAGCTCTCCTTTGTCTGCAGAGAAAGGAAAATGGTAGTTTGGTTGGGGCTAGACCAAGAGCAAGTCTCTAGGAGAAGGGTCATAAGAACAGGCTTTCTAGAACCAGGGACCGACAGGGCCCTCTGTTCAATTTCAATTTCTACCAGGCCTTAATGCTTTCCTTTGAATGGATGCGCACTGCGTCCGTCATGTGGGGGACTGGCGCAGGCGCGGTGCTCTGGGGCCAGGCGGCTCCACACACAGCCCGCTCTGCTCGCCCCTTCTGCACACCCCCTCCTCAAAGCCTGACAGCTGAGCCCCCCTCGAGCCCAGGTCACACCCTGACCGGGTGAGAAGGAGGATGATCTGTCATTCCTTGTCTGGTTTCCGTATCTCGGGACCATTGGGTCAAGAGATACAGTGACCAGCGCCTCTATGGGCCAGGTCTTCATCCGTGTGCTAGGAGCTGGGACAGGGCAGCGACTGAACAGGCATGGCCCCTGTCCTCACGGGGCTGTGGAGAGTCAAAGAGCAAGACCCAGACAAGTGAGCAAACCTCACTGTAAAAATGGATGTTTACAAATTGTAAAAAGTGCCATGAGGGAGGAAGACAGCCCAGCAGACTGAAGGCACAGGGGGCCCTGGAAATGCCAACCTGCAGGATGGGCTCCCAGCCCTGGCAGGGCACCACCTACAGTCCCTTCGTTATGAGCTGTCAGAGCCCTCTGATCTCACCATCCTCCTTGGTCCTCCCCCCTCAGATTTTATCTGTTCGGCAGAACAAATCAGTCTGCCCCCCCAAAAAAAACATGAACAGACCTCAGGGTAAACCAACCAATGCGAACCCCCAGCTGGCAGGATGCAAATGCTGGGCCCACAGACGGGGCAGAAACCCCAGCTCTGACGCTCCCCCTACTGGGGGGCAGTAACCGGCACGTGGAAGGTGACCACCGGGTCCTGGGGAAAATCAACGGGACCCACAGCGGCCACACGGCATGAGAGCAAACAGAAAACAGTCCATCCGTCGAACACTTCGTATGGATTTCCAAGAATGTGACTCTGCACAGAGTTTAAGCCCGGAAACATCCTGGAAAATACATCTTTGTTGCCTCCAGAATTCGGCCATACGGATTCTCACTGGCTCAAGCAAAACAGCTTCAAAAAACTCCCGTGACTCAGAACGACCCAAACTCATCATCCCGGCCCAGATGTTTCAAAAGAAAACAATTACTTCCCATGAAATAAGAAGATTTTCTAATCGCAAGGAAACCGCGAATTTACTTGAGAATCACAACGTGAAATGAATTTAGTTCAACCTGACTATTCAAGCCAGCGACAGAGCGGCAAACCGAACCAGCAACGCTCACCGAGGTAGGGTAAGACACAGTGGGCACACCAGCCAGACGCCCGCGAGTCACGGGATATTTTATGGCTTTGTAATCTGGCAACGCTTTGCGAAAACCTCCATCTTGGCCTCTGATCCCTCTGGAGGACTCGGGCAGACTGGCCTCCGAGAATCCACAGGATGGGCTTCCAGACCCGCCTCCTGCTGTCCCACACATCACCTCCTGGTTACCCGCCGTGGATTCGCTAGTCCCCTCTGCTGGCTTCCTCTGGCACGCCCCTCCTACCACCGACTGGCGCCCTCTTGAGAAAACTCGCTTTACCGTTAGCCTGACCACAAACCAAATGAACCAAAAACACGACTCCAGGATAAAGAGAAGATGCACATCATACGACCTCAAGGCCAAGCAACTCGTGGCTTAGCCGCTCTCTGGAAGGGTCCACACAGAGAAGGGAGAGTGCAGCGTGAGGCTGCACCTGACACAGCTACGCTCTGCCAGCCCCCAGGGTTGCTCGGGCTTGGCCACTTACTGGTCAGGGCAGCAAAGTGGCTGAGGCCACATCGGATGAGGGAAACTTGGACTTCCGGGTTGAACTCCGTCAGGCCGAAGAGAGTGGGTGGGATCACCTCGGGAAGTGCACTTTCCACAAGGTTCGGTCCTTTCCCAAGAATTCCGTAGCCCCAGACGAAAACATGTCCTTCTCCTGCATTATAGCAAACACAATGGTCAGTCAGGCGAACCAAGCACAGCCCGCCCTCACTGGAAATTCAGACCGCACCACCAAGATCCACTATATCCACGCGGATGGGTTTTTTTTTTCCCCCCTCCCTGCTTGGCAAGAACACACGGACAGAGATCTAAAATAATGTTTCTTCTCTCCTCTTTACAATTCTTGCCTGTGAGGCCGTCTAGCCAGCTAACCCATCTCAGGACACAAACTTCCCACATCCGGAGCGTAACCGGGAGGGGCCCGGGTCATCCGTCACCCAGCAGCCGGGCAAGCACAGGGGAGGCTCAGAAGGGCGATTTTTCCCACACAGATGTTCTGCGTTTCACACCGATCGCGAGAGCAAGCTAAGTACACAACCAACCTCTGGCCAGATTCCTAAAAGTCTCAGAAATGAGTATTTTGGTCATAGAAGGTTTAACGCTCCTCAGCGGTGCCAGACATTTAATCCCAGGGCCACGGGCCTCAGTATCCACACCCGACAGCCCTTCTCCTCTCGGCCCTGCGTCTTCTGGCACAGCCTCCCCGGGGAAGGCAGGGCTGAGTCTCCAGCCCAGGCGAAGGAGAGGCGGGAGCAGATTCCAGAGGTCTGCTATTATTACAGAGGTTAGAAGGACTCGGTCCCGTCACTGTCTATTTGTCTACATCTGAATCATGGCTACTGTCCTTCTGTCAAGAATGTCACCCTCACCGTCACCAGTCGATGATAAACTGAGCCCAGTCTAAGCAGGCCTTCCCACAGCCACGCTCCCTTCCCTCCCTCGGGCTGAGGGCTGCAGCCAAGGCTCCGGTGCACCCTGAGCCATGCCCCCATCCAACCCACCTACAGCTCCCCAACGAACCGCCCACAGGAGGGTCTCACCATTTAACACAGCGCAGCCTGTACCACCGCACGCAGCCTGCCTCACCTTCCCCACTCCTGAGAAGGGTAAGCACCGGGGGACGTTCACCTGAATCAAAACCAGAGCCACACCGTCAGGAAGACAAAACCAGTGAGAGCTCGGAAATGCTCTGTCTCGTGTACAAAGTAGAAAAGTCCCGGTTCGTTAATTCAATCTGCAAGTTATTTCCTGAATGTCCAAGATACACTAAAGATCTAACCAGGTGCTGGGATTCAACGGGGGGAAGCAACTTGGTCCCTCTTTCAGAGTGGGGTCCAGTGGAAAAGGTAAGAGGCCAGCTGAAATTAACCCCAAATTAATTTGTACTGAATGCAATGAAGGAGAGTCCAGGGTCTCAGAGAGTGAATGTCGGGGAACCTGATCTAGTTTGCGGGGAGGAGCATCAGGGAAGGACCTGGAAGGCTTCATTTTATCCTGGGACCTCAAGGATGAGCAGGGGTGACCAGGCAAGGGGAGAGAGGACATGTGCAGGAGTGGACCTGGCCCATGCACGGGGCAAGGGGTGAGTGGGCCGCCTTCAGGGGGCCTGAACAAGGTCAGAGAGGCTGAAGCGGAGGCCTGAGGGGCAATACAGAGCCCAGGTCGGCAGGAGGTCGTGGGGCCCGTAAGGAATTGGTCTTTCTCCTGAACACAATGGGGAGCCAGCAGGGGTACTAAGAAGAGGAGGATTTCCAGAGGCCACGTGAGGGGACCTGGGACACAGTGGGGGACCGGGGTGTGGGCGATGCGCAGTTCACTGCGCCCAGAGACGGCCGAGTGGAAATGTCTGGGGATACAGACATGTGGACCCCTGAAGACCAGTCTGGGTGGAGAGCGGGAAGCCCACACAGGGCGTCTGCAGGTGGAGGCCGCATGGGTTGGGTGGAAGGACAGATGGGGAGGGACCAGCGGAGAAGGGGAGGCTGGAGCTGCGGGGAAGAAGGCTCAGCAGATGGGGGAGGGCTCCTGGGAAGGCGGGAGGAGACGGGACCCGGGACGTACGGAGGAGAATCGCGTCATGGGGGAGGGCCAGAGGGTGGAGGACACAGAGTGGGAAACTGAGGGCACTTGTATCTGATAGCATATGTTTTCTCTATGAATCAGGGGCCAGATCTGCTGCCGAGAATGAGAGACACGAGGGTCAGGGGTTTGCAGAATGAAGTGTGGCCAACTCAGCTTTCCAGCGGGATTTGGTCGTGGTGCCTCTACTGAGGGATAACTCCGGAAAGACAGATTTTTAAGGGCTGCAGGGGCGGCCATGAATCTTTACAGATAGGCTTTCAAATGGGGACAGCTGGAGGATAACAGTCCCGAAGTTGACGCAAAAGGAGTAAGGGGACTCACTGATCCAGGAAATGTCCGCCTGGATGGGGTGAGGCTGTCAGAGCATCTTTACCTGACCGTGCTCTGGCACGACGCCCTCAGCAAGCGCCAAGAAACGCTCTAGCACGGAGCCCGCTGTCCGAGACAGGACAAGGCTCAGGCCTCGGTCACGAGTCACAGCTGCGGTGGGCTGCTCCTCACAAGGTCCCCGTGACCCCCACCTCCTGCTAGTCACACCCACGTGCCCACCCTCCCCCCGCCGCCCCGGGCCCTGGTGTGGGGCCCGACCTCGTGACCAGCTTCTCGGGAGCAGAATGCCAGTGAAAGCCAGGGGAGGTCATTGCCAAGATTAAATGATAAAACGCCCGCTTCCGTCTCACTCGCTCTCTCATTTGCTTGCTCCGATGAAGCCAGCTGCCATGTTGGGAGGTGCCACATGGAGAAGCCTACATGGCCAGGAACCCAGGAAGGCTGGGCCAACAGCTAGTAGCTGCCTCACCACCAGCGAGGAACTGGGGCTCCAGTCCAACGGTCCGCGAGGACCTGCGTCCTGCCAACAACCACCAGGGTGGTCCTGGAGGTAGAGCCTTCGCCCACTGAACCCTAAAATGACCACAGCCTTCGAGGGACCAGGGCCGGAAGACCCAGCTAAGCCACCCCTGGATGCCTGACCCACAGAAACTGTGAGATAATAGATGTGTGTTGGGTGCAATCACGAAGTGCTGGGGTCATTTGTTACGCAGCAGTAACTGCCACGACCCTGGATCTGTCCACCACAGGAAGGCTGTGGGACACGGGTTCTCAGGACTTGGGAGCAGGAAGAGCAACAATTTTCCTGAACATGTTATTTGTTTATCTTATAGAAACAATGAATCATTTAAATGGGCGTGTTTTCTTCTCTGCTTTGGCTTAACTAGGAAGCTCAGAACTGTATCTGCAACGGCTTCTAGCCACTGGGCCGGACCACAGGGAATGCTTCTCCTCATCCTGTTCGCTGACTTTTAGTTTCCCTCTGGGCTGATCTCTTTATTAATACATATTTAAGAGGTGCCTGGGTGATGCTGTCAGTTAAGCAACCGACTCTCGGTTTCAGCTCAGGTCATGATCTCAGGGTCTTGGGACTGAGCCTCATGTCAGGCTCCGTGCACAGCGGGGAGTCTGCTTGAGATTCTCTCTCTCTCTCTTTCTTTCCCGTCTGCCCCCCACCCACTCTCTCACCCTCTCAAATGAATAAATAATTCTTTAAAAAAATACATATTTAAAACCTTCTGTATGTTGTCAGAAGTTTGATAGTATTAAGAAATAAAATGTATTTTTTAAACAGTCCTTATATTTTAAAGAGACATAAATAAACTTTTATGGATAAAACATGACATCTGGGGGTGCCTGAATGGCTCAGTCGTTAAGCATCTGCCGTCGGCTCAGGTCATGACCCCAGGGTCCTGGGATCGAGCCCCGCACTGGGCTCCCTGCTCCGCGGGAAGCCTGCTTCTCTCTCCCACACCCCCTGCTTGTGTTCCCTCTCTTGCTGTGTCTGTCTGTGTCAAATAAATAAATAAAATCTTAAAAAAAAAAAAAATATGACGTCTGGGGTTTACTGCAAAATAATCCAGGGCAGGGGCACTTGGGTGGCTCAGTCAGTTAAGCGACCGACTCTCAGTTTCAGCTCAGGTCGTGATCTCAGGATCTTGGGGTCGAACCCCTGTCAGGCTCTGTGCATAGCAAGGAATGTGCTTGAGATTTCCTCTCTCCCTCTCCCTCCTCGTGTTCTCTCTAAAATAATAAATCTTAAAAAAAAATACATATTTAAAACCCTCTGTATATGTCAGAAGTTTGACAGTATTAAGCAATAAATATATTTTTTAAATAGTCCTTATCTTTTAAAGAGACATATGGAAACTTTTATGGATAAAATATGTCTGGGATTTATTGCAAAATAATCCAGGGCAGGGGCACCTGGGTGGCTCAGTCGGTTGAAGTCCGACTCTTGGTTTCAGCTCAGATCGTGATCTCAGAGTCTTGGGATCGAGCCCTGCGTCAGGCTCCACACTGCGCGTGGAGCCTGCTTGAGATTCTCTCTCTCTCTCTCCCTCTGTCCTGCCCACCCCCCATGCACATGCTCTCTCTCTCTCTCTCTCTAAAAAAAAATCCAGGGCAGAGAAGCAGATAGCAACAAAAACTGGCCATTAGGGGCATGGGCTTGTTTTGGGGGGGTGGGGGAGGAGGGCAAAGAAAATGTTCTGGAATTAGATGGCTGCACAACTCATGACTACACTAAAAACCACTAAGTTCTACACTTGAGAACGGTGAATTATGTCTTGGGTTTCTGGGGGGGGGGGTTGGTTTTGTCTGTTCTCTTAAATAGGCCCTTAGTTGAGAATTGTTGAATGCAGGTGAGAGATACATGGAGAGTCATCATGCAGTGAGCTCTACTTTTTGTTTTTATCTGCGATTCCCCTTCATGTTTAAAACCCTGCCATACTGTAGTGAGGGTGGCTCCCTTCGGTGAGAAGGCGGGGGCGGTGACAGGCCACAGGCAGCGGCTCCTGAAGTACTGTGCGTGTCCTGCTGCCTGGGGGGCGGGGGGGGCAGGTGCACACTTGTGACCTGCACACTCTGTGTGGCATGTATATTACACGGCAACAGGAAGCACATGGGGACACCATGGGAACTCCTACCCCTTTCAGACTGGGACGGGGCGCACAGGCGCACCCAACAGCCTGCTCTACGGCAGGACTACCGCGTCAGAGGCTGGATAACCATGGCTTTGACCCCCGGGTTTCATTCCAGACTCTGAGAAGCTGGCCAGGAAGAGGCGGTCTTACAGGTGGTCGGGCCTAAACAGCACGTCACACTTCGCTGAAGAGGCTTTTGTTTTCTTTAAAGATTTATTTATTTATTTGAGGAGAGAAAGAGAGCGCGGACCCATGCACACGCACACAAGCAGGAAAGGGGCAGGGGGCGAGGGAAAGAATCTCCAGCAGACTCCCGACAGAGCACGGGGCCCACCGTGGGGCTCAACCCCACGACCCTGAGACCAGGACACGAGCTGCAGTCAAGAGTCGGACACCCAACCAACTGAGCCGCCCAGGCGCCCCTGAAGAGCCTCTTATAAACGCCCATTAACACTCTGTAATTCCAAACCTCCCAGGCGGCGCTGTGAGCGACCCGTACCTGTGTGGAGTCGGTAACGGCGGCCAGCTGCAGGTACTCCGAGTTCCCCCAACCGAAGAGGCCGCCCTCAGCAGACACGGCCAGGCAGCAATCACCGTGGGTGGCCACCTGCACGATGTTCACTCCGGCCAGGTCCCCGGCCAGCTTGGTGGGGACGCTGGTGATATGGTAGTGGCCCAGACCTGCCATGATGGCCAAGCGTTACTCCCAGCTACTGACTCTGGGAACAGACACTTCCACAGGCTTCCTACGTGCCGAGCATGGTGTTAAACGCTTTACAAGTATCAGCTCGGCAAGGCTGATCTGGTCCTCTGCGCGCGCTACAACTTCCTTCTCCACGCTTTCTCAGAGGAGGAACAAACAGAAGAGTGAGCGTTTATTTTTAAAACCCTGGAGGCTTTCTAAGTCTGATTCAAGTTAGAAATGTTTATGAGACAGAACAGCACGACACAATGAGGCCCGAGGACCCTATGAGAATACACACATGGAATGCTGCAACAAGCGATCTCCAATGCACCGTCGCTGGGCTTACCAGAGAATAAAGGAAATCTCCCAGAGCCCATCCCAACCCCCACAACACCCCCCAAAATAACAGTAAGCTGAAACTAGCCCACTGGCATGGTAGACAGTGAACAGGGGAAAAGACAGGGCGGGCCAGAGGCTATCGGGACACATGTCACCATCCGCATGTGACAGAAGGGGAGTCCCAGGCAGCAGACCAAGGCAGATTGCACACCCCTGTCTCCCTGCTTTAAACCAGGCTTCCTCAATGGGACCCAGGGCAACGTCAGACTCGAAGCACCCCTTAGCAACAGGCAAAAGCCAACCTGAACCCCCTCTGGAGGAAAGCATCTCCATTTAGGCCCTTCCAGTTTCTGCAAGTTCAATTCAACAAAATAGGAGCCCACGGTCAAAAGTTACTCAACACACAAGGAAGGACGCCCCTGTGAGTCAGAGTAAACCGAACCAACAAAATAAAAAAAAGAACTGGGGGCAATGTTTAAAGAAACAAAAGCAGGAATAAGAGACTACTGAAAATGGCCAGGTAAATCTGAAAAGGAAGTGATAAGCAATGAAAAAAATACAGTTAAAATTCAAAACAAGCCAGGCCTGTGAACTTATAAAAAGATGGTCACTCTCAGGGACGCCTGGGTGGCTCAGTCGGTTAAGCGTCTGCCTTCCGCTCAGGTCATGATCCCAGGGTCCTGGGATTGAGTCCCGCATAGGGCTCAGCAGGGAGCCTGCTTCTCCCTCTGCCTGCCCCTCCCCCCGCTTGTGCTCGCTCTAACAAATAAATAAAATCTTAAAAAAAAAAAGGTTTTTTTTTGTTTTTTTTGTTTTTGTTTTTTTTAATAAGTCAAATTGGGAAGGATTACAAAAGAAAGGAACAGGATACTGAGAATCTGCAAGGGAGGAGGCCAATCATTTTAGGAAAGATGGCCCAGAAAGACTTCCCAGAAGAGATGGACACCCAAGATGAGGCCTAACGGATGAAAAGGAGAGCGAAGACAGGCATTCCAGGCAAGGTCGGCTTGTGTCAAGGCCCTCTGGCTACAAGAGGAAGCCGGCTCCAGGAAGTGACTGCAGGGGGCCTGCATGGCTGGACGCCAAGCCCAGCAAGCAAGGGCAGGGAGGCCACAGAAGGTGTCACCTGTGATAGCTCGTTTCTGGAATGGCTCCAGGCAACTGTTAACCGTGGTTAGCTCCAGCAAGTGGGGCTTTCACTTTTCACCCTACAGCTCCCAGCTCCCTACTGCACCATCCCCAGGGGGGAAGGGCCCACTACCTGTTTGCCCGTCGGCGCCCCAGCCACAAGAGTAGACTTCTCCTTTGTCCGTCAGGAACAGGCTATGGTCCTGGCCACAAACCACCTGTCAGATGAACAGCGGTGAAGCTGAAGAGAAATCCTTGGAAGCCCAGTGTCCTGGTCGATCGATGGACACAAAGCTCCCCACATTCCCTACCACTCCCAAGCGGTGAGCCAGCTGGGCCCAACGGGCTGCCCCGCACGGCCTCCACATCTTATTCTTGCTTAGTCCCCTCCTCCATAAGCCTCACTCCTCCCCGCTCCCCTCCTCAGCCTCCCTACTGGCCTCCGATCTTTGTCACTAGCTCCCCATCTTCCCTTCCAAGCCCTCAGGCTGCCCCATCCTTCTGCCATAACACCTTTCCTACCACCCAGCCCTGGTCTATCTGATACACGCCTCCGCCATCTCCCACGATGCCTTCTCCCCCTCCCACTCCACCCCTGGGAGACTTAACAATTCTCCTTCTGTGCTCTCAGGGCAATTCCTGTAAGCATCCGCTTATGTATTTAAGTATTTATTGTTACGTACTGACCACGTGCCAGGCACTGCACCAGGGATGGAAATAAAATAGCGAGCAAGATATGGACAGCCTGGGACACACACACACACACACACAGCTAGCTTAATCTGTGCCTCCCTCTTAAGAGTGTCAGCCCCCCAAACCTTATTAAACTCTGTACCCCCATAACCCTAGTGGAAACCAATACCCTCCTGACCTACAGGAGGTAGGCAATACTTTTTACTAAAATAATTTATTGAGATAACTGCCCTAACCAATTTGCCATCACCCCCCCCACCTTTCACCCCTGCAAAGGCACCCCCAAGGGCTGGATGAGTGGCTCTCAGCATGCGCCTCTTACCTGGACCACCTGCCCATCGAAGTCCTGCATTCTGTTGACTTTGTGACTTTCGCTGAAGCCAGGAGCAATTTAGGGAGAAGCAAGAGATATGGTCAAGGTAAAAGCACTGTGTGGTTCTGCCCCTGCCCGTCACCCCTAACTGACGGACCCCGAATGCACACAGTAACTGTTAGGGAAACTCTCAAAGTCAAATATAGGGCAGAGGTAGGCCTAGGCATGAAAGCAAAACAAAACAACCCTTTGGTGATTTTTTTTTTTTTAAATAGGCTCCATGCCCAATGTGGGGCTCAAACTCACAGCCCCAAGATCAAGAGTCGCATGCTCTACAGACTGAGCCAACCAGGTGCCCCCCCACCGCCTTGGGTGATTTTTTTTTTTAAGATTTTATTTATTTATTTGTCACAGAGAGAGAGAGAGAGAGAGTGCACAAGCAGGGGGAGTGGCAGAGGGAAAAGCAGGCTCCCCACTGAGCAGGGAGCCCAATGCGGGGCTTGATCCCAGACCCCTGGGATCATGACCTGAGCCAAAGGCAGATGCTTAACAGACCGAGCCATCCAGGTGTCCCCCACCTTTGGTGATTTTAATATGCTGCCAGAGGTGAGACTTGTATTTAGACCCAACAGCATAATGTGAGGAAGGAGAGGGGAATTTCTTTAAAGTTCAAAATAAATAAGGGTCTGGCTCAATGGGTAGAGCGTGCGACTCTTGATCTTGGGGCTGTGAGTTTGAGCCCCACGTTGGGTGTAGAGATTACTTAAAAATAAAATCTTAGGAAAAAAAAAAGACTGAAATAAATAAGAAAGGAACAGAGAAGAATTTTTAAAGTTAATCTATTTGGTAAAAATAAAAAACTAATTCAAAAGAAGTTCTACACACCACAATCAACACCCGACCGCCCTCCCTTCCACCAAGCTACCATATGGAGCTCAACCCGCAATGGAACAATACCCTCCACAGCTTTCCAGTGACTTCTCACCGCCCCTCTCAAGCAGGGGGAAGCGTGCCATTTCCTGCTCTGTGCGTCTATCACTTAGTAACCACACGAGAAATGTTAAATGCTTAACACGATTTGGGGAAGTCCTTTGGGGAACTCACCTGTAAATTTCATTTTCGACCACGTTTCTTCCGCACTGCCCGTAAGAATTGTTTCCCATGCTAAAGACTGAAGAATAACACCACCAGTGAAATCAGCTCTGCAAGTTCATGGGATCCCAGAATGTGAGGCCTTGCAAAGGGGGTCTCGGAAGTGGTCTTAGTCCAACCACTCACCCTAAGCACCCGTTTCCCCAACACCCCCAGCCTCTGCAGGCTCACCCACAGGCGTGCTGGGGCCTGGCCCTGCAGCAACAGCCTGAGCCACCTTGACGGTCCCCTCTGCCTTCCCCTGCAGGTGCTCGTTCCACCTCTCACAAATGCCACGTTCCGAGGCAAGCACCCCCTGGGGAAGGCCCCAGCACCCCCACTCCCTGGACCTATCACCAGAGGTTGCCCTCCATGCCAAAGGTGTTTTTGTTTTGTTTTTTTTTTAAAGATTTTTATTTATTTATTTATTTATTTGACAGAGAGAGACACAGCGAGAGAGGGAACACAAGCAGGGGGCAGAGGGAGAGGGAGAAGCGGCTTCCCACGGAGCAGGGAGCCCGACACGGGGCTCAATCCCAGGACCCTTGGTCATGACCTGAGCCGAAGGCAGATGCTTAACCAACTGAGCCACCCAGGCGCCCCGCCAAAGCTGCTCTTGAAAGAGTTCCTGAACACCACCTTTGCCTTTTCCCACAAAGCACACTTAGCCAGAAAATGAAATTGGAAACATTTAGTCAAGAGGGCCTTTCCCTGGAAACAGTCGCTCTTCGGGAGAGTCCGTGTTATCTGGACTCTGAAAGCCCACCAGCTGAAAAAGTGCTGGCAAATAGGCTCCTTTCGGTACAACACAAAACACCGTCTACACGCACAGCCCGGCTCAGTGACTTCACGGCAAAGGCAGTGGGTGGGAGGCCTCGCTAAGGCGGCCAGGTGTGCACTGTCACATTTATAAATACCTGAGGTTTTCGAAGAATCGCAGAGAGCAGAGAACATAAAAGAGCTGGCAGGATCTGCCCAATGTGGTGATATTGAGCCATCCTCCCGATTTGCTTGGGAAATGCCAGGAGCCTCACTATGTGTGGTTCCATCAAACGAACCAGTTTCAAGCCAAGGCCAAGGGCTCCCCCCCACCCCATGAACCTGGAACAGGCCAACTCACCTCCTTCGCGGTCTGTCAGGATGAGAGAGTGGGCTCTGCCGCAGGAGACCTGCAGCACCTGGGTCTCCTGAGGTCTGTCCAGAGGCAGTGGGACGGGCGAAGGCTCCAGAACATACTCGTATCCCCTGGCTGAAAGAAAAACGTGCAAGTTCACGGTGCGTCACACAGACGGAGTCACAGCCTCATGCTGTCCAACCCCCACACTGCCCCACAGTCACAGATCAGAGTGACTCATCAAGGCACATAAGCTAGTGGCAGAGCTAAGACGAGAGCCCCAGGCCCCAGGTCCGGACCCGCTGCACCCCACTGGCTCCAATGAGCCTTCCCGTGTCATTAACACCATTTGCATCTAAGGAGAGTGACGGCATTTTCCTCCTGTAAGACCCACTAACCAGTAACGATACTGCTTCTATTAAAAAGTGGGGAAAAGAATATGTAGAAGCATCTACTTGCATATGCATCACATCTTTCCAGAAGGAGAAACTGGAAACTGTTAACACAGGTTGTCTTCAGGGAGAAAAACTGTGCGGCTGGGAGGACAGAGGCAGAAAGCAGCCTTTCCACCATATACACTGCACCTGTAGGATTCTGAAGTATGCAAATAAGGTCTCTAGTCAAAAAAGAAAATTTTAGGGGCCCCTGGCTGTCTCGGTCGGTAGGGCATGAGACTCTTGATCTCAGGCTCGTGAGCTCGAGCCCCATGTTGAATGTAGAGATTACTTTGAAAATAAAATGAAATCTTTAAAATTAAACTTTTCTTAATTAATTTGTTAATTAATTACAGTAAGCTCTACACCCAACGTGGGGCTCAAACTCATGACCCTGAGATCCTGGAGTTGCACACTCTACCGACTGAGCCACCCAGGCGCCCCTGAAAATTTTGATTTTTAAATAAGCAAGGGGAAAGTTTTTTAGAAGTCACTCTACGGACAATGTTGTTAGCGTACACATCTCCTATTGCTCTCTGCATAGACCCCTAAGGGCCTGGGAGGCAGTAAATACGTATCATTTAAGGGGAACCTGGCTGTAAATACAGCTGTCAGGAGTTTAAATAGAACCACAGCAAACTCCAGACTGGAGAATTCTACAGGATAAACAGTGTGATTTCTTTTTTTTAGTTTTTAAAGATTTTATTTTTAAGTAATCTCTGACACCCACTATAGGGCTCGAACCCACAACCCCAAAATCAAGAGTCGCACACTTTACCAACTGAACCAGCCAGGTGTCCCTCTTCTCTTTTCTTTCCTTTTTTCTAAAAAAAAAGTAAGCCTTTATTTCTTTGTTTCACAAATACAGTTGGCTGAGTTGGTTGCCAATATAATTTCTTCAGTAAATAAGCTTCAAGAAAAAAAAGATTAAATAGACTTAAAAGACTTTTAAAAGTCTTAGCAACTGGGGTGCCTGGCTGGCTCGGTCGGTAGAGCATGGGACTCTTGATCTCAGGGTCCTGAGTTCAAGCCCCATGTTGGGTGAGGAACCTACTTTAAAAAAAAATAAAAATAAAAATCTTATCAACTGATTGCAACGTCTGGAACTTATCTGGATACTGATTCAAACAAATTTTTAAAAAATAAAATAAAAATCTAGGGTGCCAGGGCAGCTCAGTTGGTTAAGCAACTGCCTTCAGCTCAGGTCATGATCCTGGAGTCCCGGGATCGAGTCCCGTGTCGGGCTCCCTGCTCAGCAGGGAGTCTGCTTCTCCCTCTGACCTCCTCCCTCTCGTGCTCTCTGTCTCTCATTCTCTCTCTCTCAAATAAATAAATAAAAAATCTTAAAAAAAATAAAAATTAAACAAAAATCTAATGACATTTATGAGATAACTGACAATTTGAACGCTGACTGGATATTTGGTAACATAAAGGGATTAGATTGTTCATTATTTTTAGGTGTGAAAATGATGTTGCATTTACTTTTTTTAAGGCCCTTTCTTTTTAAGATCTTATTTATTTATTTGAGAGACAGAGAGCACAAGTAGGCAGAGCGGCAGGCAGAGGGAGAGGGAGAAGCAGGCTCCCCACTGAGCAGAGAGCCCGATGTGTATCCCCGATGAGCAGAGAGCCAGAGTCCCAGGACCCTGGGACCATGACCTGAGCCAAAGGCAGACGCTTAACCAGCTGAGCCACCCAGGCGCCCCAAGGTCCTTATTTTTTTTTTTAAATACGTTCTGAAATATTTACTAATGAGATTAATAACGCTGGGAGTTGCTTAAAATTATTGAGGGGAGGGTGCAGGAAATGAACAAAACCAAACTGGCTGAGTTGGTAACTGAAGCTGGTATGCCTTACACGACTCCGTCCATTTCTGTGTATGCCTAAAGGTCCTCCCAACAAAAGGTGTAACAAATGCAATGTGGCGTCTTACAGCTAAAAGAGACTTCAGTACTGACTTACAAAAGAATTTTGATACAAAATTAAGTGAAAGAAGGCAGAAAATACACACTGATCAAAACTGTGCAAAAATGTACTTGCACATGAATGAGGAAACAAGAAAAAAATGAAAAAGTTTATCCAGACAGTAAAGGTACTGCCCAGTACAGCCATCCCCCCTTATCCATGTGGGATACATTCCAAGACCCCCAATGGATGCCTGAAACTACAGATAGAACCAAACCCCATATACACTATATTTATATTTTCTTTTGCATATCTATGATAAAATTTAATTTATAAATCAGGCGAGGTGGGCGCCTAGGTGGCTCAGTTGGTTAAGCGACTGCCTTCGGCTCAGGTCATGATCCTGGAGTCCCGGGATCGAGTCCCACATCGGGCTCCCTGCTCAGCAGGGAGTCTGCTTCTCCCTCTGACCCTCTTCCCTCTCGTGCTCTCTATCTCTCATTCTCTCTCTCTCAAATAAATAAATAAAATCTTTAAATAAATAAATACATAAATCAATCAATCAATCAGGCGAGGTGCCTGGGTGGCTTGGACAGTTAAGCATCCAACTCTTGATTTCAGTTTGGGTCATGTTCTCAGAATCCTGGGCTCGTGCCCCACATCAGCCTCCATGCTCAGTGCAGAGTCTGCTTTGGGATTTTCTCTCTCCTTCTCCCTCTGCGTGCGCGTGCGTGCGCGCACGCACACACACACACACACACACACACTCTCCCTCTCTCTCAAATAAATAACATCTTTAAAAAAAGTTTATAAATCAGGCACAATAAGAGGAACATTTTTACTTATCAGCAAAGGCTCTTTTGCCTAAAGGTTCAGTGTTATTACCAAAGAGGCTGACAAACAATCTAGTCCAGATGGTCCCAAATAACATCCGTGTAAGACTCCATCTCTTCTGCTCTGCTAGTCTGGTTTGTGTCACCATATTCTTGAAAACCAAAGGAAACTCCCTCATACCAATCACAGCACAGAGAAGCCAAGATGAGCACACTCACTTTTATCTTTGCGGCTCCTGTGAAATCCAAGCTGGGAATCTTTGTTGAGCCCCATACCCCAAACTTTCGTCACATCCTTAGTTTTAGAGGATAGCAGTGTGAATCCATAGCCACAGGCAACAGATGAAATCTGAAAGAGTTCCCATAAAGCATGAATTGATTTGTGGTATCAAGTTTTCTCTGCAATAAATGACAGGCTGTTTGCCCAATCAAAGAACACATAGTATTGGGGCACCTGGGTGGCTCAGTCGGTTAAGCATCTGCTTTTGGCTCAGGTCATGATCCCAGGATCCTGGGATCGAGCCCTGCATCAGGCTCCCTGTTCAGTGGGGAGTCTGCTTCTCCCTCTCTCTCTCTTCCCCTCTCCCGACTTGTGTGTGCACATGCACACTGTCTCTCTCTCTCTCCCCCTCAAATAAATAAAATCTTAAAAAAAAAAAAACTGGACGAACCTAAAAAAAAAAAAAACCATTTCAGGGATGGAAAAATCAAAGGCAAATAAACTGAGAAAAGTTTATTTGTGAAAGACTGCTAGAACTTCAGGTAACAGGGAGGGGCGCCTGGCTGGCTCAGTCAGAAGAGCTTGCAACTCTTAATCTCGGGGTTGTGAGTTTAAGCCCCACATTGTGTGTAGAGACTACTTAAATAAATAAAACTTAAAAAAAAAAAAGCGGGGGGAAGAAGAAGAAGAAACAAGAACTTAAGGCAACAACAGCAGGAATCTGCAGACTTCCCGTCTGGGGTGCTCCATCAACTCCAACTCAGCACATGTGTTTTTTGTGGTCTTTTGGGGTTTGTTTGGGTTTTTTTTTTAAGATTTTATTTATTTATTTGTCAGAGAGAAAGAGAGCACAAGCAGGGGAAGCAGCAGACAGAGGGAGAAACAGGCTTCCCGCGGAGCAGGGAGCCCGACGAGGGACTAGATCCCAGAACCCTGGATCATGACCTGGGCCGAAGGCAGACGCTTAAACAACTGGGCCACCCAAGCGTCCCAAGCACATATGTTTTAAAACGGCAGGGTTGACCATGAAAACCATCAACTTTGTTGCCACTTATTTTGGGGTAGAAGGTGAAAACTCATGCCCGTAGTGAACTCAGTAGGAAACAAACAAGGAAAATCCACAACTTGGCCAGTCTGAGGTTATAATCCTGACCAGGGCAAGAGGAGAGGCAGACCAGGCAGAAGTGTAACGGAAAGCTCCTAGAAGTAAAATTGCCACGGAAGGCTCTGCACACATCCATGGCTGATTGGGAAACTGCGAGTGAACACGGGAGACCTGAGGACCCTGTACCAAGTAAAGCTGAAGCAGACGTGAGAACAGCCTGATCTTTGAATGTGGTCCCCAACCTTTACACAGAATCAAAGGTAGAAGGCAAAAACCTTATAAGCTTAAAGTGTGCACAACCTCTGCCCAAATCATTGGCTGACCCTAAAGGTATGCAGACAGAGGGCAACACTCAAGAAGCCAAGCTAAGGAAAGGGGGGTCTGGGGAACGACACAAATCAATAACTTGAACAAAGAGATCAGCGGCCATGCACAGCATGGAAGACTGTTTCTATACGTGAAGTCCACAAAAGTTACTAAAAAAAAAAAAAAAAAAGAAAACCAACAAACAAAAAAAAATCTCAAGGGAAAAATATCAGATTCCAAAACTATAAAATATCACCAAAAAGTCCAATTTTCAACCAAAAAGTACAAGACATGCAAAGAAACAAGAAAGTGTGACCTACACTGAAGGGACAAAAGCAGCCAAAAGAAACTGACATTAAGTGGACCCAGATGTTGGATTTATCAAAGATTTCAATAAACTATTGTTCAAAGAATATATTTTTTAAAGATTTATTTATTTGACAGAGAGATACACAGTGAGAGAAGGAACACAAGCAGGGGGAGAGGGAGAGGGAGAAGCAGGCTTCCCACCGAGCAGGGAGCCCGTTGCGGGGCTTGATCCCAGGACCCTGGGATCATGACCTGAGCCGAAGGCAGACGCTTAACGAATGAGCTACCCAGGCGCCCCCAAAGAATGTTTTTAAAACCATGTTTAGGAGGCGCCTGGGTGGCTCAGTCAGTCAGGTGTCTGCCTTCAGCTCAGGTCATGATCCCGGGGTCCTGGGATGGAGCCCCGCATGGGGCTCCCTGCTCAGCTGGGAGCCTGCTCCTCCCTCTGCCTGCTTCCTCCTCTGCCTGCCACTCCCCCTGCTTGTGCTCTCTCTCTGACAAATAAGTAAATAAAATCTTTAAAAATAAATAAATAAAATAAAATAAAAAATAAAACCATGTTTAAAAAACTTAAAGAAGGAACACCTGGCTGGCTCAATCCGTAGAGCATGCAACTCTTGATCTCAGGGCTGTGAGTTCGAACCCCACGTTGGGGGCAGAGATTACTCAAAATAAATAAATAAATAAGATCTTTAAAATACAAAATTTATAGAGACCTAAAGGAAAATATGACGACAATGTCTTCACAACTATGGAATTTGAATACAGAAATAAAAACATTAAAAAGCTAAATGGAATTTCTAGAGTTGTAAAATACAGTAACCAAAATAAAGAATTCACTAACAGGCACAGAAGCAAATTTGAGATGACAGAAGAAAGAAGCAGTTAACCTGAAGAAATATCAACTGAGATTATTCATTCTGAAGATCAGGGAAAAAAAATAAAAAACAGTGACTCAGAGACCTATGACCTATGAGACAGTATCAAGTTATCAACATCTATGTAATGAGAACCCCAGGAGGGCAAGAGAGAAAGAACAGAAAAAAATGCTTAAAATAATGACAGAAAAGGGCACCTGGGTGGCTCAGTCGGTTAAGCAACTGCCTTCAGCTCAGGTCACGATCCTGGAGTCCCGGGATCGAGTCCTACATCGGGCTCCCTGCTCAGCAGGGAGTCTGCTTCTCCCTCTGACCCTCTTCCCTCTCGTGCTATCTCTCATTCTCTCTTAAATAAATAAATAAAATCTTTAAAAAAAAAATAATGACAAAAAACTTACAAAATTTTTTTTATGTTTTATTTATTTATTCATGAAAGTCAGAGAGAGAGAGAGGCAGAGGCAGAGGGAGAAGCAGGCTCCCCACCCAGCAGGGAGCCCGATGAGGGACTCGATCCCAGGACCCTGGGATCATGACCTGAGCCGAAGGCCGTTGCTCAACCATCTGAGCCACCCAGGCGCCCAGTAAACTTATCAAATTTTATGAAAAACATAAATCTACAGATCAAAGTTACTCAACAAGTCACAGTTAAACTGTTAACAAGTCTATCGCCATACCAGCCTGAAGGCACCGGATCTCGTCTATCTCAGAAGGAGAAAATCTTGGAAAGTATCAAAAGAAAATGGACTCATCAAGGACAAGAGAACAACAGTAAGATTAATAGCTAAGTTCTTATCAGAAACAAGGGAGACCAGAAACCAGAATGACATATTCAAAGTGCTGAAAAGATAAAAACTGTCCACCAAGAATTAATTCTGTAAGCAGCAAAGCTATCCTTAAAAGAAAAGAAATAAAGGCCTTCCCAAACAAAGAGAATTCAGCAAACCTGCCTTGACAAGTACTGAAGGAGTCCTTCAGGCTGAAAGGAAATGACAGGAAATGGTAACAAAAAAAGAAAAAAGAAAATCAGAAGAAATGAAGAGCACCAGCTAAAGGAATTATAAAGGTAACCAGAAAACACTGCATGAATATCTTTTGTCTTTTTGTCTTTTAAATGATTCAAAAGACAACTGCATAAAATAATAACTATAAAGTTGTACTACTAAGCTTAAAAAATGTAAATATATATCACAATAACCCCACAAGGGAGAGAAGAGAAACTGGAGCTTTATTGGAACAAAGTTGCTATAGTTTGTTTTTGTTTTTGTTTTCCGAATTAGGTCACTAATAACCTAACATAGACTGTGCCAAATTAAGATACATACTGTAATCCCAAGAAAAACCTCAAATACACAGCAAAACACCCAACGAAGGAATTTAAAAGGTACCCCAAAATACCTATTCAACACAAAAGAAGGCAACAAAGGACAAACAGAGAAACCAAAGACCTAAAGAAATAAATAGCAAGATGGCAGATGTGATCCAACCATATCAGTAATTACATTAAAAGGACATGGATTGAGTGGTATCAGTGAAAATGGTGGAGCAAAGAGAACGCTGGCCAACGTCAGAATCATTTTTTTCAGAACTCTGGAAATCAACCAAAGACTTAAAACAATCTAGGGAATGTTTACTCGAGAAAAGCAGCTGAGTCTCAGTAAGAACAGCAAGCTTTGCAGCATTTCACACCTTGACCTATTCCCATCCACCTCTGCTCAGCTCTGCAGTAGCTCTTAAAGGCAACAGCTCACAATCACAGCGAAAACCGGCAGTCTAGCAGCCACTGGAAGAGGCAGAAAGGGTTTGGAAGAAAAGCTCCATTCCCAGGGCATTCTCATCTGATCTGTCTGGTGGTTCCCTGGAAGACCCCATGCACAAGGCTCTATTTATTTGACCTGACCCAGATATCACGCAGTGCAAACAGCCTTTTTCCCCAGGGATATTTGTTGAAAACAATCAGCAGCTAACGATGAACACTGCAGCTGCCTGAGGTGGTGGACAGCAGTTGGAGCAAATAATAGGTCCACCAAGAAGTTACTAACGTGACCTGACATCAACTCCGCCCAGACAACAGCAGAATACACATCCCTTTCAAGCACACATGGAACATTGTCCAGAGAAGACCATATGCTGGCCTATAAAACAAAGTCTCAATACTTAAAAGGGCTGAAATTAAAGAAAGTATATTCTGTAACCACAACGAAATTAAACTGTGACTGTGGTGACAACCCCGACTCCGGGGGTGACGTGAGAATGACGCCTGTCTGGCCCGACAGGGGCACGTTTCGGCCACTCGTTAAATGTGAGCAGCGCCCTAACGCCCTCCCCTCCCGGGCCTGCAGCCCCCTCGAGGGTCCTCCTCCCCGACATTGGACCACCCAGCCTCCCAACTTCTCGCAGAGGGCCTCGGGGGGCAGCGGCGGAGGCCGGAGGGCGCGACGGAGGGAGAAAGCCCCGGCCCGCACCTTCTGGTCCAGCTCCAGGCGGTAGGGCACGGGCTGGATCCTGCGGGGCGGCCGCGAGCCGGCGCGGTGCTTGGGCCCAGCGCTGGGCAGCACGAAGGTGGGCACGCCCAGCGCCCCCGAGAAGCTGAAGCCCCACACGAAGATGCGGTCGGCCCGGGCCGCCCGCTCGCCCACGTACTGGAACACGGGTGCGTCCGCCTCGCACGAGCTCCGCGAGCGCCCGGCCGCCGTCCGGTGCCCTCGCCCCGGCCTCAGCCCTGGGCCCGGCCGGCTCAGCCGCCGCCCCAGCCGAGCCCCGGCCGCCAGCGCCGCCAGCGCCATCCTCCGCTCCAGGCCTCAGCGCCTCCTGGAGGCCGCCATCTTGGGTGACCCTTGACCCCACGCCCCGGCGGAAGAGCCCGAGGCCACGTCGACTACTGGCTGAAGGCAAAGGCGCCGAGGGCCGCCAATGGCTAGGAGCAGGCGGGGGCGGGGCGGAGCCGGGGAGCCGCGGGCCTGCGTGGGCGGGGCGCTGCGCTCGAGCGCGCTACCTGTCTCCCGGCTCAGCCGCCGGCCCAACGCCTGCCTTCCCCGCTCCGGCTCGCGCGGCCGCGGGGCGCTTTCGTTTCGAAGGCCCTTTGCTGCTTGTCAATCAGCAGAGGTAAAACTTAGGGGTGGCCCGCTCTGCGCGGCTCCCATGTGGTGCTCTCTCCCGTCCCGGTTTACCCTCCTTGCCACGGCCCCTCGTCATTTCTTAGCTGGCCTTGTCGCAGCCTTCCCATCCGCTTCCAGGCCACTCAGTCACAGCGCTCCAGCCACAGCGCGCTAGAGTGCAGCTCTGCAGGTGCATCCGCTGCCCCCGACCCTGCAGGGAAGCCCTGCTAGCTTCCGCAATGCATTCTCCTTCCCAGCTCACCTCGCCCCCCTAGCCGCGCACTCCACTGGAGTCAGATGGCTTTCCTTGTAATTTCCAAATCCCGGGGCTGGTTCAGGCCTGCACACAGGGCTTCGAATGTCCTTCCCGCTGCCCTCCTGCCTGCAGGTGTCTAGTCAACACCTAGTCATCTTCTGAGATCCAGCACTAGTTTTGAAGTTCCGAGAAGGCAGGAACTGACGGGGAGTCTGGGGACCTAGGTCTAGTCCTGGCCCTGCTACTGACTTGATAAGTGGCTTTGGCAAGTTGTTTCCTTTCTCTGGATCGCACCTCTAATGTGAGGAGGTTAAGGGGGGAAAAAAAGTGAAATGAATTTTTTTAAATAAATGAGCTAGATGTGAGATGTTTGCACTTTATGACCTGATCTCCTGCAGCCCATTATAATCCATAACGGACGTTCCCAAATACTACTCCCAAATGCTGAGGACAGAGTCCTCTGAAACTAGGCTCCCCAGAGGCTGGTAGGGTTCCAGAACGCAGAGCCAGGTGGCTGGACTTGGTAGCAAGGGCAGGGTGGCAGCCGTAGTCCCTTGACACCAGCGATCTATGGCTTGGCTATCTGACCACGGTATTCCGAGGGATGAGGTATAAGTGCTTCCTTGATGTGTATGACCAGAAAAAAAAAAATCTGACCTACTTCTCAGACCAGAATCCAGCAACTGTAGAGGAGGCAGAATCCACTTGAGGGACCCTGCAGAGCCAGCACAAATAGAGGCAATAAATATCCTAGTCACTTCCCAAAGGAATTTGTGGTTATTTACCGGAGTTCCTATACACTGGAGAAATGAGAATAAGCAGATCTTCCAAGAGCTTGATAAAGGCTGTGAGATGACAGTGACCCAGGGGACCTGAAACACTGGCAAGGACCCCAGTTAGACTAGGATTTTATGGAGCCAGAACAAGCATGGCTGTGGGTCAGTGTGTCCATGCACCGACCCTGTGGAAATGTCCCAGGTTCCTGAGTCCACAATTGGGACAGACATGCTTAGCAACTCATATTGGTTCCCTCATCCTGTCCTGACCCAGCCAGTATTAAATCAGAAGACATACTGCAATCCCAGGCAGAATTGCAGACCTGAGTGCCATCTTCAGAAATGCAGAGGATGAAAAAAAAAATGCAGAGGATGCAGGGGTGCTGGTTCCCATCATTAACCCATTCAGTTCACTTGCTTGGCTCCTGCAAAACCCAGACGGATTATGGCCGATAATGGTAATAAACTACGTAAACTTAGCCAAGGGCATAGCCCAATTATAGCTGCTGTGTTGGGGGGAGGGTTTTACTAGAACAGATAAACACAGCTAAGGAACTTACTTACTATGGGATATCATCTGGTGGATGGGTTCTTTTCTATTCCAATGGTAAAGAGGCTCAAAGGTAGTTTGGCTCTATATAGGAAGGACAGTATTATTCATTAACTCTCCCTGACCTTTGGCTCCTGGTACCTCCCAAATTTTTTTTTAAATGTTTTATTTATTTATTCATGAGAGTCAGAGAGAGGGAGAGAGAGAGGCAGAGGCAGAGAGAGAAGCAGGCTCCCCACCTAGCAGGGAGCCCGATGCGGGACTCGATCCCAGGACTCTGGGATCATGACCTGAGCCGAAGGCAGACGCTTAACCATCTGAGCCACCCAGGCGCCCCTTGGTACCTCCCAAATTAAGTACCTGTGTACAAGATCATGTCTCCAGCTCTGCTTTTATTTATAAATCAGGGGCTCCTGGGTGACTCAGTCTGTTAAGCATCAGACTCTTGATTTTGGCTCAGGTCATGATCTCAGGGTCATGAGATCGAGCCCCATGCCAAACTCTGTGCTGGGCATGGAGGCTGCTTGGGATTCTCTCTTCTCCCTCCACCCCTCCCTGCTCGTGCTCTCTCTCTTAAAGAAAAAAATCTGAGACATGTATTGGTAAAGAAGAATTACATAAATGCCATCACATTAGTGAGGGTTCTCCAGAGAAACAGAACTGATAGGAGAAATAGGAGTCCCATGATCGGTCTGCAAGCTGGACACTCAGGAAAGGCAGAGTATAGTTCTAGTCAGTACAAAGGTCTGAGAACCAGGGACAACAATGGTGTAAGTCCAAGACTGATGTCCCAGCTCAAACAGCCAGGCAGAGAGAGAATTCAACCTTCCTCTGCCTTTTTTGTTCTATTCTGGCCCTTGGTGGGTTGTACATGGCCCACACACATTGGAGAAGGCAATCTTTATCTGGTATGCCAATTCAAATTCTGATATCTTCCAGAAACACCTTCACAGACACACTCAGAAATAATATTTAACCACCTCTTTGGGCATCCTATAGCCCAGTCGAGTTGACATATCTACCAGCATAACTAACTGGTAACTAATAACTAATTATTAATATCATTATGGGATGTTTATTCATGAAATGTGTATCCAGTTTTCAACCGTTCTTGCATAAACATGGCTTTCCTTTTATCTGAATTCATGGCCTCTCTGATTTTTTGGTTTTAAGGATCAGCTCTTTTATAAACTGGCAATGATGGTAGATAGGCTTTTTAAAAATCTTCACTTGTCAGAATGTTTGTCAGAATTAAAAAATTGAGGGGCGCCTGGCTGGCTCAGTCAGAAGAGTGTGCAACTCGATCTTGGGGTCGTGACTTCAAGTCCCACATGGGGTGTAGAGATTACTTAAATAAATTTAAAAACTTTTTTAAAAAAGTTTAAAAATCGATAACCCTATGTAGCTCTCTTGAATTTATTTACTTATTTTTTTAAAGATTTTGTGTTTTTAAGTAATTTCTACACCCAATATGGGGTTCGAACCCACAACCCCGAGATCAAGAGTCACACGATCCACCAGCTGAGCCAGCCAGGTGCCCCTGGTCTCTTGAATTTATAAAATATTTGACTTTTAACAGATACCCAAAAGTCAGAACCATTGGTTGGAGATTTAGGAGACAAAGGGTACAGTGATAAAATCTGTAATGTGAAACACAGCCACTGGGTGGCGATGCTTGCCCATCAATTTTGTGTCTTGTTCATCAAGAACTAGGATAAAATAGACTAAGTCGGTTTTGGCCAATGAAGAGCTGGGTTTGTAGTGACAGCTGGGCTTTTATATTTTACTATCAAAACCTGGTTGTTTTATATACTGGTTGTATGCTGGCTAATACTTGTGTTTTTGTCCATATTGTTACTTCGTAAAGACAGTCCCACAGCAAAATACCAGCTCCCCTGGAGTATTAAAATGTCTGCTCTCCTTAACCAAGCTCAATTTTCCCCCCACCTGTAATGACATTTTCCTGCAGACATTCTAATTTCTTTGTTACATTGGGATAGCTAAAATTCTCTGGTCTGGGAAAGAATGAACTTAACTAGTCTTAATGTATTTTAATTATTATTATTAAACTTTTAGTTATACAATTAATATATGATGAAGTGCCCTTGTTAAAAAAAAAAAAAGTACTTTTAGTGTTCTATATGGATAAAGGGAAAGGCTCCTTTAACCACAGCCCCACATATATCTGTTGAGGTAGAAAAAACATTTAAAAATTTTTGTTGTGTGTGTGTTTAAAGAAAACCATGTATCTCATTCTACAACCTCCTCTTTTCACTCAAAACTCTACTGGAGACGCTTTCATAGCAATTTCTTTGCACTTAGCCCATTCTTTTTCACTCTTGCATATTAGTATGAATAAGTCTTGTTTGACCATTCTTTTGGTAGACGTTTGGGTTGTTTCCCTTTTTTTGCTATTAAAATATTACAATGAGTGTTCTTGTACATGTTTCCTTTGGCACCTGTGTGACGGTATCTGTTGGGTAGATACAGATAAACAGAACTGCCAGGTCATAGAAAATGCTCATTTTATTATTTTTTTTATTTTTAAAATTTTTTAGATGTTATTTATTTATTTGAGAGAGAGAGAACAAGCAGGGGGAGCTGCAAAGGGTGAGGGAGAAGCAGGCTCATCGCTGAGCAGGGAGCATGACGAGGGACCCGGTCCCAGGACCCTGAGATCATAACCGAGCCGAAGTCAGCTGCTTAACTGACTGAGCCACCCAGGTGCCCCTGATACAAACTTTTGAAATGTTTGTCAATCCAATACCTAGGGCGCCTGGGTGGCTCAGTTGGTTAAACGACTGCCTTCGGCTCAGGTCATGATCCTGGAGTCCCGGGATCGAGTTCCGCATCAGGCTTCCTGCTCAGCGGGGGAGGCTGCTTCTCCCTCTGACCCTCTTCCCTCTCGTGCTCTCTATCTCTCATTCTCTCTCTCTCAAATAAATAAATAAAATCTTTAAAAAAAAAAAATCCAATACCTAAAGCATACCTCTTGTTGATTTTTTTTTTTTTCTGTTTCTATAATCTCTTGGGAAGGTAGAACACCTTATGGTTATTGGCATTGCATGTTTCCTCTACCAAGAATTGTTTGGCTACTCATATCCTTGGCCATATTTCTATTGAATTGGCTGTTATTAATTTACAGGAGTACTTGATATAATCTGCGTGGAAACCTTCTGTTATGTGTTGAACATTTTTCTTTTTACCTAATTTATGGTGTCCTTTTTTCTAC